AGACAAAGCTTCAGGAAAAGGACCACTTGGAGTTCCTAATTCCCTAAAATATCCCCCCAAGCCCCTTCACCCACTTTCCTGGGGAGGCTTGTTATGCTTGTTTTAAACCTGCTGTCTATTCATTTCATCTGGTGACCCCTAGTTCTTGTGTCATGTAAAGGGGTAAATAACATTTCCTTATTCAGTTTCTGCACACCATTCATGATTTTATAGCCTTCTACCATATCCCCACTTAGTCAGCTTTTTTCTAAATTGAACAGTCCACTCTTTTTAATCTTAACTCGTATGGAAGCTGTTCCATAGCCCTATTTATTTTCAGTGCAGAGAAGGGCAACCTTTCCAGTTCTCATATCTTCTTTAACATGGGACCAGAACTGCAGTATTCAAGGCGTGAGCATACCATGGATTTATATAGTGGGGTTCTTAACATTCTATTAGCCTTTTTGACTGCTACAGATGTTTTCAGGGAACTATCCATGATGACTCCAAGATCTTTGAGTGGTAACAGCTAATTCAGATCCCATCATTGTGTATGTGTAGTTGGGATTATTTTTTCCAATATGCATAATTTTGCACTTTTAACATTGAATTTTATCTGCCATTTTGTGGCCCAGTCACCCAGTTTAGGAAGGTCTCTTTGTTACTCTTTGCAGTCAGATTTGGATTTAACTATATTGAGTAATTTTGTATCCTCTGCAAATTTTGCCACCTCACTGTTTACCCCTTTTTCCAGATCATTTATGGATATGTTGAACAGCAGAGTCCCAGTACAGATCCTTCAGGGACTCCGCTATTATTTACCTCTCTCCATTGTGAAAACTGACCATTCTTATCCTTTATTTCCTATATTTATTTTAACCAGTTACTGATCCATAAGAGGAACTTCCCTCTTATTCCCTGACTGCTTAGTTTACTTAAGAGCCTTTGGTGAGGGACTTTGTCAAAGGCTTTCTGAAAATCTCAGTACACTGTATCCACCGGATTGCCCTTGTCCCCGTACTTGTTGACTTCCTCAATAAATATTAATAGATTGGTGAGATTCCTCAGATTTGTCACCTAAAAAGAATGGCTTGTGTGTGGGAATAACCCTCATGTCCACTGCAGTGAAGACGGATGCAAAGGATTCATTTTTATTTCACAGCAATGGCCTTCCTTGAATGCTCCCTTAGCACCTTGATCATCGTGTGGCCCCACTAACTGTTTGGCAGGGTTCCTCCTTCTTGTGTACTTTAAAAAAAAATGCTGTTAGTTTTTCTGTCATTAGCTAGTTGCTCTTCCAATTCTTGCTTGGCCTGCCTTCTTATACTTGACTTGTCAGAGTTTATGCCCCTTTCTATTTTCTTCACTAGGATTTGACTTACAATTTTTAAAGGATGCCTTTTTGCTTCTAACCACCTCTTTTACTCTGTAGTTTTGCCACAGCAGAATTTTTTTTTTGTCCTCTTACCTTTATTATTTTTATTTGGGGTATACACGTAGTTTGAGCTGCTATTATGGTGTTTTTAAATGGTCTCCATGCAGGCTGCAGGCATTTCACCATTGTGACTTTTTCTTTTAATTTATGTTTAATTAGGTTCTTCATTTTTGTGTAGTTCCCTTGTTTGAAGTTAAATGCTACTGTGGTGGGTTTCTTTGAAAATTTTTCCCCTGCAAGGATGTTAAACTTAATTATGTTATGGTTGCTATTACCAAGTGGTTCAGCTACATTCACCTCTTGAACCAGATCTTGTGCTCCACTTAGGACTAAATGAAGAATTGCCTCTCCCCTTCTCGGTTCCAGGACAAGCTACTTCAAGGGGCAGTCATTTAATGTGTATAGAAATTTTATCTCTTCATCCCTTCCTAAGCTGACATACCCAGTCAATAGGAGAATAGTTAAAATTCCCCATTACTGCATTTTCTGCCTTTGTAGCCTGTCTAATCTCCCTGAGCATTTCACAATCACTGTCACCATTCTGGACAGGCCGTCAGTAGTACATTCCTACTGCTATACTCTTATTATTCAAGCATGGAATTTCTATCCAAAGAGATTCTGTAGTACTGTTTAATTCATTTAAGATTTGTACTTCATTTGACTCTGATTTTCCTCACATATGGTGGCACTCCCCCACTGGCACGATCTACTCTGTGATTCCTATATATTTTGTACCCTGCTATTACCACGTCCCATTGATTATTCTCATCTCACCAAGTTTCTGTGATGCCTATTATATCAGTATCCTTATTTAACGCCAGGCACTGTAGTTCACTTAATATTCATCTTAATATTTAAACTTCTGGGATTTATATATAAGCACTTGTACATTTTGTCAGTGTTCAGTTTCTTGTCTTCATGTGTTATCTTTAAATGGGACTTTTGTACTTTTGACTGTTCCTCACTAACTCCTACCTGTACTTTACCAATTCTTTTCTTATCCTCTTTACTAGAATATAATTTCCACTTTTAATGAATTCATCCATAAGGGATGACTCCACCTGAACCATGTGCCACTCCACAGCTGTTGGCTTTTCCCTTACCCTTAGTTTAAAAGAATCCTCCACAACCTTTTTAATTTTACATGCCAGCAGTCTAATTCCCATCCTTCATGTATAGGATCCTCCTTTACTAAAAGGTCCCCCAGTTGCTAATAAACCTAAAACCTTTCTCCCTATGCCATCATCTCATCCACACAGTAAGATCCTGCAGTTCTCCCTGTCTTCCTTGCCCTTCATGTGGATTCAGAAAATGTTACCATGGAGGTCCTGGCCTTTAATCTGTTACCTAGCAGCCTAAATTTGGCCTCCAGGACCACTCTCCTACCTTTACCTATGTCTTGTGAGATATGCAACCTTCGCATTTGGCAGGCAATTTACCATGCTGTTCTCCCAGTCATCACAAACCCAACTATCTATATTTCAAATAATTAAAACCCTCATTACTATACCTGGCTCTTGCTAGTAACTCAGGTTCTCTCCCCAGGTGAGGTATCCTCAGTGGAAGAGGATACCGTTACATCATCTGGAAGGAAGGTCCCAACTATGGGATTGTTTCCCTCCACTCCAGCTTGATGTTCTCCTTTTCTGAGACTTTCATCTTCCTTGACAGCACAGAGGCTGTCAGGCTGAGGGTGGGACCTTTCTATTGTGTTCCTGAAAGTCTCAGCTATATACTTCTCTGTGTCCCTTAGCTCCTCCATTTCAGCCACTTTGGCCTCAAATGCCCGTATTGCATCTCTGAGGGCCATGAGCTGTTTTCACCATATGCTTACATACACCACCTGCCCACTAGTAATCATACATGCTGTATTCAGTCCAATAAATTGGATAGTCCACACTCTGCTTCTGGACTTCTGCCTGCATAATTCTTTTTATTCTTGCAGGGTTTCAGGCAGGGTTTGGGGGGGGAGGCAGGGTGCTTGTTTGTCTGCTTGTTTGGGTTTGGGGGGCGGGGGTAAGAGGGGTTATTGGCCTAAGATTAGAGTATATTTGTTAGATGTATCTGCCTCTTGCACTCTCTCTCTCTAAACCCTCTTATAAAACTTCCCTGTTTGGCAGCTTAGGTGCTGGCTTCTTAAAACTCTGCTCTCCATGAGTTAGTCCCCCTTCCCACTTTTTAAGGGGCTTGGGTCTCTCTTTGGATTTCTGTTATTCCATCAAAAAAATTCTGCTGAATATAATTTTGCAGATAAATAAAAATAATTTACTAATTCTTCTGATTGCAAAGATAGACTTCACAGTCTGATGCAATACAACACTGTCTTCCTGAGTCTTCAGACTGACAGTATTGGGTCAGATTTGAAACAACTTCCAAAGTAATAAATTGAACTCTTCAAACATGAATTGTACAAAAATAAGCTTGACTGAAAAAAATTCCAATTAAATCTGTTTTCTAACTTCCTTTTTCTTACAGATTAAAATTCTTGGTGTTTTCTTTATCTCATCTCAAGAGTTCCTGGCCAATGCCTATGTTTTGGCTGTCCTTCTATTTTTCGCCCTTCTGTTGCAAAGGACAATTCTCCAGGCATCATACTATGTCGCCATTGAAACTGGAATTAACTTGAGAGGAGCAATTCAGGTACCCAAGATGATAATAAGTAACATGCCTACAGAGGGGAAGTGCATACATACTAGAAATATAACAGCTGTAATAGACCCATAGGTTTAAAGTCTACTTAATTATATCATAGTAAATTGGGAGCTCTCCCACTGAGGTAAGTGTTACTATCCCACATCACACCATCAGCCCTTCTAGTCCAGCATTCGGCCTCTAATAATGGTCAGTAATGGATGCAGAGGAAGTACAAGGCCCCAGAAGTTGCCAGTTATGGAATAATATGCTCATAGGAGAACTTTCTTCCTAATGTTCTCATTTAGAGACTGTATGCTCTGAATCATGAGAGCGCAGTGGCACCAATTCAGATATTTTGGGGGGAGGGGAGGAATTCTGGTTCCCCACCCTCTCGGCAGGGACCTCATTCTGGTCCCTGCTCATTTTCCAAGCCCCCTACCTTCTTGCAGGGACCCGGAGTCTCCCTTGGACAGGAAGTCTCCCCTCCCTCTTATCCACACAGTACATAACCCAGTGCCTCCAGGAGTCAAGTTCTTGGAGGACTCCCCTGTGCTCTGCCATATTGGAACAGACTCCCTGTGCACCTGATCACAACACCATTTGTCCCATAATATTGTATAACTCTAAACACTGGATCAGAATAACTTTATTTGCTATACAGAGTTCTGCAGTTAGAAAAATTCTAACCATAAATAGAATAATTAACTGTAATGTTATAAGTTAATATTGCCAGATACACTGGTCAAAACATACCCTAAGAGATGTGAACAGTCAGCCCAGTAATAGTTAGCATTAATTAAACATCCAATCCGTTCAAATACACTAACAGCCACTGAAAGTACCCATTTATTACAAGGACTCTCATTAGCTGCTTAATTATTTAATCCACTCCTGATTATCCATTGTAAATTCTTTTTAGCTGCCAGATCTCTGGATTCCACTAATTCCAACCAGTATTGCCCTGGTTAGAGCTGATCAGAAAATTTCTGTGAAAACAAAATTTTGATCCAAAATGTGAGAGGAAATCACAAATGTTTGTTTTTTACCAACCTGTTCTTCTCCTCCTTAGCTTGGTTTCCCACTTTGTCCACTACTTTTAGCTGCCCCCAAAACCACAAATAACTATGAAAGGTACTTTAAATATAGTTGCCAGAAACTGATACAAAATTCCCTAAAAGGGTTACTACGTTGCTGGAAATGAGTGCGCTTGCCAAACACTACTTTCAGGATAGTTGTCACAAGCGAAGATTCTTGTTCCCTGTACTGTATGTTACACAAAGGTCCAGCTAAGAAATTCTGTTGTCATTCCAATGGAGAGCTTTTAGCAAACATCCTGGTGGCAGGCGAATGAAGGGCAGCAATTGCCTGACAGTCTTCCAGCCATACAGGGGTTTTTGGATAAGTTCTCTTTGTGCTATAGTTTCTCAATTTCCTGGCAATCTTTCATCTCCTTTCCTCCTTCATACGAATCTGCACGTGTCCTACATGGCTTAATCCCTTGTGATTTATGGCTGGCAACTGAATGCAATGGATACATGGAATCTGGGTGCCTTTCATCAAATAAGTCTCATGAACAGCCATGAAGCAAAGCTGTATAGCTTTAGTACCTAAATTAAAAATCAGTTGGTAAAAAGTGCTTCTCAAATATTGCATATTACTTATTTTCTGAATCATGGAGCCTAATTCTCCCTTCTTGTAACAATGGCTTTTAATTGAAAGGAGAATTAGGCCAACTATATTATTCATCCGTGGGTTTGTGACATTTTTATTGCAAATCTAGAGTTAAATTCACACAGTGAAGATCAGCACAGCAAAGGAGATCCTCGGGCTGGGTGAGGCCTGAACCAAACATCATGGAAAGTTAGAGAAGCATAAGTACCACAGACAGGACCAACTCTCCTTGCAGAATCTTTGGTTTCCATGGAGGTTACCAGTAGGTCTTCAGGCTCTATGAGGCTTCTCCTCATAGAGACTGCACTTGCCTCCCTAGTGGGGAATGCTCAGCAAAATGTTATGAATCTGATCTCTCCGAGTTTTCTGTGGGAGTGGAGGACAGGAGGTTTGGAAATTTTAAGTCCCATTAAAAAAGAGCTTAAGCATACATTCCTTGCACACATGCACAACTCTCATTGAAAGTAACAGGAGTTTTTATTGTTCAAAGTATGCAGGACTAGGGCACTCTTCTGTTTGTAACTGGAGATCTTGTTTTGTGTGTGTTCACTAATGCTTTTTGGCTACCTTTGGTGCATTTGTCTTCTAAATAACAAATTGGTTTTATTTTAAGATCAGCCCTTCACGTCGTGGGAGTTTCTCTAAAACAGTGGTTCCCAAACTTGTTCCGCTGCTTGTGCAGGGAAAGCCCCTGGCGGGCTGGGCCGGTTTGTTTATGTGCCGCGTCCACAGGTTCAGCCAATCGCGGCTCCCAGTGGCCACGGTTCGCTGTTCCAGGCCAATGGGAGCTGCTGGAAGCGAGCGTGGGCCGAGGGACGTACTGGCCACTGCTTCCAGCAGCTCCCATTGGCCTGGAGCAGCGATCCGCGGCCAGTGGGAGCCGCGATCGGCCGAACCTGCGGATGCGGCAGGCAAAC